TCCCTTTAGAGGTTTTCTGGAGGGATTATAAATCCCGTCCTGTCTGGGAACGCCTCAGAATCCTCTAGGAGGAGGAGCTGAAAAACGTTTCTGTGGAGAGGGAAGTCTGGGTTAAGATCAGACGGAGGAAACGGATGAATGGAATTTAATGAATTATGTTGTTTAATAAGATTTCTGTTTAATTTAGATTTGATTATCTGTAGTAACGATCATCACAGTCTCTGTCAGTGGTCGTCCACATTCAGACGACTTTGTCTCCACCATTTGAAAAAGAACAGAAATGTAACTTTTCAGAGAAGAAGTGTGAAGAAGTGTAAATGTACGATTCTGTTCATCGTGGTCTTTTCTCTCCTCAGCCTGTCAGAAGCTCCAGCATCAGACCCGGCCGCCCCTCCAGCTGTGGCCCAGTGGAGGTGGCTCTTCCTGGGCTGGTGTTGGACCTGAGCTCCCTGGTCTTATATGGAGCTCAGGCCGTCCCTGTTCGCTTAAAGATTCTTCTGGACCGCCTCTATAGCGTGCTGACTCCAGAGCAGGTACATCTGATCATCTGACCTGTTGTGATTTTAAGATGTTTACTTCAGTCATGTTTGGATGTAAAGATCTTTGTGTGTGTTTCAGGTGGAGCACATCCTGCACACACTGGGCTGGAGTCTGGGGGATTACGTTAGAGGATACATGCTGCAGGTAAACATTCAGGGCGCCCTCACACGAGACAATCCTCACCGTGCCTAAACACACTTCACCCCTAAAGTCCAGTTTGTAAAAAAGCTGTTTTAGTCCTGAACTAGAGAGAAGAAGAAGAACATACTCACTGATTATTTGGATGTTAGTAAGAGTTTTTAGATCGCGCTCTTTCTGTGTCGAGCTGAGGATGATTATGATGCGTTCTAATTGATAACTCCTTTGTGCAAACGTGTGTGGAGAGGGGTTGGAGGTGTGTTTGTTTGTTTGTTTGTTTGTATGAATAGTGTGAGTGCTCCGTACACTTCCTCGGTCCTGGCCCGCTTCGGCCCGGTACAGTTCATGCACCAGCATGCGGGCACACAACGTGGACTCAAATAAAAGACAAAGTCAGAAAGACAAAGAACCTTCAGCTTGATGTGAAAAGAACCAACGCTGAATAAAAACCTTTTCCTGTTACCAGCATCTATTTATTTATGTTTAAGAGAAAGACCAGATTGTGGATCATCTGACCCGGCTCTGTTAGACCGACAGCAGAGCAGCATGTTTCTATAAGTAACTTAAAGATACGATCAGAGGGGACCAGCTGATCTCGTGTGATGTCACTTCTCTTTGTTAACATTTGATTTGTTTCCGCTCAGTTCCCCGTTGGGAAGGTGTTGGACCACTGGTTGATGGTGACTCAGGAGGAGGAGCTGCTGATCCTCAGACAGTTCCTTCGCTTTGGTGAGACCCGCCCCATCGTCGAGTTAATGACCCTTCACTTCCTGGAACCTGCAACCAACTTCTCTAACAGTGAGCCCAAGCCCGTCCCAAAGAGCGGCCGGGTGAACATCGGCACCTTCATTGGACGAGACGCTGGACCTGCAGGAGAGAAGAACAGAAGAGGGTCTTCAGGTTCAGGAGCAGACGTCTGTCACTTCAAGAAAAACAACCAGACTGACCACCAGAACGTTCCAGACAGACTCTCTCTGCTCCTGCCGTTCCACTTTCCAAACTCCAGCTTCCACCTTCCCACCAAGGTAACACCTGAGATGACCCACCCTAACATCAACCATCATAACCAACATCCAGGTTCCTGATGAGGGTCAGGGTGTCATCCCTTCTTCTCTTCTGTCTTTTTATTCCAGGACCTCGATCCTCAAAATAAAGTTACATTTCTATGGAAGTCGAGCGACTCCAAACTGTCTGAAAGAAACAACCAGGAGGGAAGAAGAGAAGAAGAGAAACATCAGATCATAAAGATCAAATCTGACCCTGACAAGCCGAACCTCTCCCGATCAGCAGGACATCAGAAACCCTGGTTCCAAACTGACAAGGACCTTCAGAGGAGCATCTCCAAACCGGAGACCACCTCGTCCCCCTCCCCTTCCAAAGACTCCTCCTTCTTCTCTGTCTCCTCCCCCAAGTTTACCCAGAAGTACCCGGGCTCCTCCTCCCTCAGTCCTCTACCCTCCTTCTCTTCCTCCTTCCTCTGCTCTCTTCCTACCTCCTCCTTCTCTCCTTCCCTCCATCCTCCCCCCTCTCCCCTCTGCACCCTCCCTTCTCTCTCGCCTGCAGGAAGTAGAAAGGGGAGGGTCTGCTGTGGCGTTTGTGGGAAAAGCTTCTACGACAAAGGTTTGTATGTACAATGGTTTCTCTGACACATGATCAGCTGTGAGAGTAAACTCACTGTGAGCATGTGGAGTCTGGAGTTCTTTCCTATTCCAGATGTTTTCCTGATCGTGCATGTTGAGGTTCTACTCGGTACGATGTAAGACCGAGACTCGAGATCCTCAACGTGTCTCGTCTTGTCCTGATCTGATGTCTGATGTGTTGA